AAAAGAGGAGATGTCTTGAGTGAGCCTAATCAAAGTAAGTAGAGCCACAACATTTGTAAGTTCATAAGAAGTTGTAGGCTTGGTATTAGGGATAGAGACAGGATAGATGCGGTTGAAACTAGAGCTATTTGGCTAAAAATAGTTTTGTTTGATCATAGACGTGATTTATAAAGCTCTAGCCTCCACCTCATCTATCCTTTTTTATTAATACTACCAAATGTATAACTTTCTATGCCCTGTTATCTTGTGTGCCAGCCCATAAATATTTGGTTTATGCATTGAACCTAATCAAAGCAACCCACAACATTTGTGGTTTGGCATACAAAAGACTTAGGAATAAGAAGTTGAGGGAGTGATTCCAAAAATGTGCGCCGTGGCGCCCCGAGTAGCCGCGGCCTCTTTGCAGGGGCGTCGCGGAATATTTTAAAAGCTTCAATTTGATTGACATTAGACCTGGTTTAGAATAGTCGTGGTCCATGAAGCAAAGGGTTGACCATGAGAAGTACTCGGGTGCTTTAGTCTTAAGTTAGTCTCCCCAGAGGCAGAATGTGGAAATAACGCCTCGAGTAGCACAGATGGAGTTGTAGGGGTCGAGTGAATTACTTGAACCAGAGGGATAGCAGAAAGATTCTATTGAACAAGAGGGAGACTGATAAGACCTCTGGAAGGAGGACTGCGTAACAATAGGGCAGACTCTAATCAACATTCCCAGCGCAAAGGTGAAGGAGAGTGAATGGATGAGAAAGCCAGCGTGGAGTGTGGAGATTTCTCATTAAATCCTATCATAAGGGCACACCATACCACATTTAAATACACAAGTAAAAATAGTGATAGTGAAGGCGTGATACGAGGATATAGGATTGGTGATTAGCCCAGGGCAGGAGAGATACTACGATTTCTTAGCAGACAATTGGTAAAAGGATCGGCTTCACCAGTCTCTTTGACAAGTTTATATGTGGTGCCAAGACTGGCAATACTCACAGACGATGCCGACTACGATGCCGGCGACACGTCTAAGAATGTACCACATTCACCGTCCGACTCTGGAAATTATCATGAATACTATGGACTCCAGACTAGGTGCGTTCCTCTAAGTCTCCCCATCAATGTGACCAAGTTGCGAAAACAATGTCAGACCACTTCTATACAACGAAAGGAGACTGCGACCACACAAAAGGCCACACCATTTTGGCCTTAATACCTTCGATAAGTACTTTATATTAAACTTTCTAGCCATATTCCTTTCATTTAGCGTATTCCCTAATCTATTAATTTCAATAGCTTATAAACTTCCGTTTAGTAGCAGACGTGCCGTAGTCAGCAAACGGACATGCATGAGATCATTCTGTCTCGTGTCCCATTGGTAGCTGGTGCTTAAATACCTCTGACTGTTGGAAACAGCTGCCTTTACAAACACTTTGGGTCTAATATCCTTTGACGAATAGGGCGGCAGTTTCGACACTTCAAGCCCGACCACACGAGCACACTATTTATAGGAACTGGATCATGAGTCATGTTTATCTCTAAAAGTGGGCATGCTGAATACAGCTAATCTGCTATATAATCAGTGGTTCTTTGCTTTAAATTAAGCATAATAATATACGAGGGCCTCGAGACTGCAATATTATTCCACACTCCATACCCTAATGCGGAGCATCCTATTTGCTTCGTCACCATCATTGTATTCCAAGCCGTTCCTTCATCCACACGCATAAACCGCATTAGCGGAGTTTTGGCTCAGTGAAAATTAGCTTGACGTCCAAGATACTCAATTATCCATAAGATAATATTATCCCTCTACTTGTACATTAGTAATCTCATAATTCGCAGAAAAAATTTTCGCAGTTATCCTTTGTCGTACTTTACCTTGAGTCAGGTATTGGGTAAAAATACACGATTTTATTTCCTTCTGGGCAGTTCTATAGGGCTTCTGAATGTCAACCGTTACCTTGATACATAATTATTGCTAGCTTTAAAAATATTTTGCAATCACCACAGCTTAGCCCCTTTACCTTCGTCAAATGTTTGCCTTTTTAGCAGGTATCCGTTCGCGGAACGCTTGACATGGAGTTCCTGCCTTAACAACATAAATCAACTTATGTTCAAGTGATAGTGTTCTACTTTATTAATTATTTATTTATAAATATGATTATTTTGTCGTATTCTTTGAAATAAAATAGTAAGTGAAATATACAAATGAATCTGTCAATTAGCAGCACACTCATGGAAAATCATATTTTAATTATTTCCTGTCTAGCTGGCAGCATTGATGGCTGATTTTTATCATCTAAAAAGAGGCCATATGTCCTACGTATGCTAAGGTTCTAGACTTACTTTGCCCCAAATAATCGGCACACGACCTTCAAAGATGGCCAAGAACACATCCTCCAGATCAGAAGACATAACTACAAGGCCCTGAATGCCTTTCTCCAAGTCAGAAAGCTGTTTGCGAATCAAAACGAGCAGCCAGTTATAGCGCTGAATCTCTTGCAACAGCACAACATTTAACGGAGAGGGCTCATTGCTAAGAATCTTGGCAGTTCCTTCGTAATCGATTACATCAGGAAGGCCTTTCTGCAGGGTTGAAATAAGTTCTAGAACCTTATCCTCCTTTGATATTCCGGTAGACTGGGAAACCTTGGGAAAGATAATAAAAAATAAAATTAAAAATAGAAAGATGTCAATTTTAAATAAATTTTAAAAATTAATAAACCTGATTCTAGCTTACTGTTTATTGTGAACTCCATTCACATTTACCTTTCTAGCTAAGTTAAATAAGTGTGCGGAAACAGGAATCTTCCTTAGCTTAAAATCGATGTCTGAACTGTAGCCCAGTGTGATGACATTTTTATCCTTTCAAGCTCGTGTCGCGAGTTCGAATCCTGTCCCCACTAGGCTGAGCGAAGTTTAAATTGTGGTATAATTTGGATGTCCATACAATTTTTATATTGTTGGAATAGTAAAGTTCTGCAAAGGGCGGAATGAATTGTTAGTAAGGCATCAAGTACCTAATAATATGTATTCGTTGTTACATGTGAATAGTGCCATTATATAATAGTTCAGCATAAGTGAAATGAGTGGATAAAAGCTTAAAAAATCTTGTGGGCTCTGACGATCATAATGTTGCGTCATATTCAAGCTTCCAAGCTTAGAACATTTTTCTTTCGTTTGCACCTCCATCCTTTTACTCGCTAGGCTCTGCGGTGTGAATACGGAATACAGTCAGATCAAATGATTTAGATTACTAAAATATGTAGAAGCTAAGGACAGAAACATTGTGATATAGTGCTTTAATGTCCCTTTATTGTTTACGACAGCACCATTTAA